ACAGTCCTTCCATCTTATCCTCCCATCTCATTGTCCTAAGTATCTGGAATGCCAGTTTATGCCTCCACGCCCCACTCCTCCTGTGATTTTTTTCAGTGATTTCAAAGTAATGATTGTGCTATACCTAGAGAAAAGTAATTGAAAAGTCCTGGGCTGGAGATGTGGCTCAGTGGTAGAGCTCTTGCCTGCATGCACAAGGCCCTGGATTCATTCCTGAGCACCACCAAAAAAAAAGGAAGGAAGGAAGAAAGTAAGTCCGGCCAAGTCCTCAAGAGGGAGCCACATTTGTGAGCCAGGCTATTCTCACTCATGGAAGTTCCCTCCACATGCTCCTATTGGGTGGCAGGCACATTTCCCGTCTGTCATACTATTGACCATGAAGTCTGCAGTGCTGTTGTTCCTGGCCCTACCCAGACACTGAGAACCCTGCTGCCTGGGAAACACCCCCAACCCAGCCCAGGCCTGGTTATGCCTGTGGATGACCTATATGCCTTTCCTTGCAGGGAATCCTCCTGGTATATGACATTACCAACCGCTGGTCCTTTGATGGCATTGACCGGTGGATCAAGGAGATAGATGAGGTAGGTGGAGGCGTGTGCCTCTCTAGGGGAAGGTATGGGTCTGAGCTGGACCTGGGCACAACTGCTAGCCTTAGCTGCTCCACAGCTGGGGTGAGGCTTGGCAAGTGAAGAGCAGGTGGACTCTGCCATCTAGCCTGGCCCATCTAAACCTCCTAGGCCTGCCCCATCCTGGAATGTAGTTGGGGGGCCCGCCCATGGCTGAGGGTGAGGGTGTCCTGCTTTTGTGTCTCTGCTAAGTTCTGTGCCCCTCTCCCAGCATGCACCTGGGGTTCCTCGGATTCTGGTTGGGAACCGGCTGCACTTGGCCTTCAAGCGGCAAGTGCCAACAGAGCAGGCTCGTGCCTATGCAGAGAAGAACTGCATGACCTTCTTTGAGGTCAGCCCCCTGTGCAACTTCAACGTCATCGAGTCCTTCACAGAGCTGTCTCGCATCGTGCTCATGCGGCATGGGATGGAGAAGATCTGGAGGCCCAATCGAGGTGGGGCTGGCAGGACAGTGAGCTTTAAGGTGTGGGGTGTACTGTGGGAGTGAAAGAGGAGGTGGCTCCTTAAGAGTTGCAGTCACCTCACCTGCCCTTCTGGGCCCGCCTGCTGAAGTGAGGCCTGGAGTTCTCTGTGCAACTGTGTGTCCTTTGCTCTGGAGTCTCACAGGTAGGCAATCACAGAGGCCATGCTTGCAGCTGTGCAGTGTTCTGTCTGTGCCATGTTCTCTGCCAGGTCCTCAGTTAGAACCCCAGCTCTGGCCTTGTTCTCAGGGAGATGGGGCCTAGGGCCATTGAAGCTGTGGTGCTTCCCGGTAGGACTCCCTGCTGTGGGCAGAGGGGTGGTCGCAGTGTTACCTTAATATGAAGCACAGGGGAGCAGTACATCTAAGTCCCTCCTTCTCAAGAAGAGCCATGAAGAGCCCAGTTATTTCCTTGGCTTGTCCTTCCCACAAGGAATACCCACTGCACCCTGCAGACCTTACTAGGAATAGCCAGGCTGGAAAGAGCTACAGGAGGGGCTGCAGAGTGACTGACTGCAAGGGCTAGTTGACCACTTCACCTCCCTTCCTGCCTATCTGACCCCTCTCCCATCCCACCCCCAGTGTTCAGCTTGCAGGATCTCTGCTGCCGTGCCATCGTCTCCTGCACTCCTGTACATCTCATCGACAAGCTTCCACTGCCTGTCACTATCAAGAGCCACCTCAAGTCCTTCTCAATGGCAAATGGCATGAATGCTGTCATGATGCATGGCCGTTCCTACTCCCTGGCCAGCGGGGCCGGAGGCAGCAGCAGCAAAGGCAACAGCCTTAAGCGGTCCAAGTCTATCCGTCCCCCGCAGAGCCCTCCCCAGAACTGCTCTCGGAGCAACTGCAAGATCTCCTAGCAGTGCCAATGGGGATCACCTGTGCAGACTCTGGCGGCTCACCGGGGCGCTCCTGACCAGGTACTAGGCCCTGCTGTGTGTGAGGACTTGGCCACACAGCCCTGCCTAGGAAACACCAGGTTTTCTCCACACCTGTCCTGGGTGGAGAGGAGGAGTGTGTAGGAGAACATGCTCTGTAAACTGGCAGAAGGGCCTGTGGGCAGCTGGGCTGCTGGTGCTACAAGGCCCTGATCTGAACCAACCTCCGATGCCATAGCTACCTGGGCTTGGGCCAGGAGGAACCCTAGCTCCCCTTTCTTATTTATACAGAGAACATTTCACCCATTTTGTATTTTAAAGGGCTGTCAGGAAAGCCTGGATGCAACCATGTGGTGAAGTGGCCTCTCCAGGGTCACAGGCACGGGGCAAGTTCCACATGTGTACGGAAGGATGGATTTAAGGCAGTGGTAGAAGGAATGGGCGAAGTTGGATGATTTTTGGATTTGCATATACTTTGCCTGAGGTCTGGGAGGTACACAGGGGCCAGTGGGGAACAGATGGGCACAGGCACCCTCCAGAAGCTTCTGGCAGTGATCTTGGCCCCAGCTTCATTTTTGACCAGGGTGGTCAGTGTGCTACAGCCAAGAATGTAGCTCTTGCCATCCCTTTACAGATGTCATCCCTGTACATTGGAGCTCTCAAAACTCAGGAGAGGGAGAAAGTAGGATATACGCCATCTGCCACTCGATAGCTCCCTCTCAACTGTGACTTGACAACTTTGGTGATGTTTACTACACAGACTCAGATCAGCACCTCCAGGTTGAGGACGCAGAGCTATTTGCAGACTTGTGAAATGGGGCCACAGCCTATGCTCCTGTGGTGGCGTCTGAGTCACTTGACAACACTGTCCAGCTTCCTGGTCTTCGCAGCTTGTGCTCATCAACCTCAGCTGTGTACCTGTAGCTGTTCCTTGCCTGACGTGGCCCTTCTCCCCAGGAGCTCACATACTATTGGAACTGTTTCTTAGTGTCACAGCCTGGAACAGCAGCCTCATCTACTCTGTGGGCAGGGATGGATACTAACCCTCTCAAGGAACCATCGGCCAGCCCCTATGCTGAAGCATAGCAAGGTCTGGTCATCTTGCCCCTCTTGAAGCCATGGAAAAATCCTCCACAGTGCTCCTCCTGCTTCTCTGTGCCCTGGGCAGCCCTCTCCACGGGGACATCACCTTCTGCCTCTGCCTGCTCTCTGTCCTGGCCTGGTGACAAAGCCAGGTGCTTTACACTGGTGCTCAACTCTTCCTCCTGCCCTCTGGCCCATGGCCACAGCAGGAACCCTGTCCAGGCCATGGCCCCTCTCACCCAGGACCCTCATAGTGTATGTGTCCTGAGATGGTTCTGCTGTGGGTGGACATACAGCACCATGGCCCATTCTGTAAAGTGAGTCATGCCACCAGGAAAAGGGCTATGGCTGTGTGAGCTGCCTGATACCAGTGGCTTCCTGGCCCTGAGGCTGACCACAGGCAGGTTGGGCAGAGGAATCCTGCCCATCGAACTTCATCTTTCCCCCACACACCTGTCCTGCTACTGCCAGCAGGGCCCTTCCTTTGAAATCATGAACAAAATCACACAGACTTTGTTTTGAGGATCTGTGTGGTCCTGTGTGCACAGTATCAACACTACCCCGCTGCTGTCGGACTCCAGCATTCCTGGGTTCTTTGAACTGTTCTTACTTAATTGTACAGTAAATCTAATTCAACTGTGACCTCTCTCTTTGGTTTTGTATACATTGGGCTCTGGCTTTATCTGGCCATGGTGGGGTGGCATGTGTGTGGCCATGGTATTCTGCCACAGCATTGCTTTGTGTCCACTGACTCAAACTAATGAAACCCTTCAGCTGCCAGCTAGTTTCACACCTATGGCTATAAGATGGTCACAAGCCACACTGTTTTCTAGGGGACAGGAACCAGCCTAGCAGCCTATTTCACCAGGAGCCCCTGGCAGTGGATCACCCAGGACTGACCATCCCCCACACCCTGCCACAGCTTCAAGGACCCTTGAGAGCAGGACCCCAAGACTGGCACTCTGCAGGAATGCATCTGCCGGTGCAGGCTCTGCCAGGCCCCACTCAGTCAGGGGTATGTGAGGAGTCCTGGAGCTGAGCTGAGTTGGGTGGGGACTCTCCACTTTGAACATGGCCCCAAACTCCAGGAACTACAGCTTCTGGCTCAAGTACCATCTGTGCTGTTTCTCAGGACCATCATGGACCTCAAGCAACATCACCCCCACCCCCACCCCTGGCTAGGGGTAGCCAGGTTGCAGAGAGTTGGAGCCTGCAGAGAGCAGGAGCCAATATATTGGCTCCTGGGTCAGGAGGTCAGGTGCTGGGTCACATGGACATTCTCCATCCTGTCTCAGAAAACCAGTCCCTGGGGCCCCAGACCTCTGGAGCTATAGCATTTGGAAAGGCAGATTCTGGCAGTCCTTTGTCCTGCCGCCAGCGTTTGATCTCAGCTGAGGGCCTGTCTGGCTCCTTCCCTCCACTGTGGAGGAGGGGCCTCTTGTCCAGCTGGAAGGTGGATACCAGATCCTCATGAGTGGGTGTCAGGACAGGGAAAGACTCCAGGTGCATGCAGTCACTGAATGGCTTATAGGACACTAGCTTCTTTCAGACTGCACTCAGATGTGCTTGGGTTTGGCCATCCCTAGGGTCACCACGTGGAGCCACATTCCATACTGGTGATTATGTCTGTGGGCAGCATGCATATGGGCCACCCATTTCCACTCAGGATGAGCCTGGGCCTTTTGGCCTCTTTTTCTTTCCTTTTTTTTTTGAGATAGGGTCTCACTATGTAGTTCAGGCTGGCCTTAAACTCGTTTATGTAGCCCAGGCTGGCCTTGAACTCATGGCAGTCCTCCTGCCTCGGCCTCCTGAGTGATGGGATTACAGGCCTGTGCCACCACCTAATTTTTTGTTGTGCTGAGGATCCAACCCTGGGCTCCAAGCATGCTAGCCAAGTGCTCTACCACTCCACACTACACCCCAGCCCTGGGACCTACTTTTTTTGCCCCTCTTTCCCACTTGAGGAAGCATCTGAGTGGCAGAGTCCTGAGCTAGAAGCCAGGGGCCCAACTTCAGTGGAGGGGTGTGTCTGTGAGAATGCAAAGTCCAGCTGTGCCTTGTCTCTCCATCAGAAGGGAGGGGCTTCAACCCTAGCAGGGTTTAGATTCAACTAGGGAAACTGAAGCTGTAAGGGTCATGGAGGTCTCCAGAAGGAAACAGATCCTTACCATCTAGTGGTTGAAGATGGAGTCCTTTGCCTTACTTGGATTCAGGTGACAGGCACCGACTTGGACCTGCCTTGGGTGAAACCTGGTCTAGTGGTCAGTAGAGCTGGGGTGAATACTTGAACCCACTGTGCATGGGAGACTGAGGGGGGTCAGGGACAAAAGCTGAGCTCCGCCAGCCCTGACCCTCCCCCCTGAGCTGAGTGGGTGGGTCTTTAAGGAGACTTTGATCCCCGCTGGGCTGTGGCCTGGCCTGTGGAGTGGCTCAGGTTACAGCATCCCCTTCTCTCCCCCTCTCAGGCCAGAGCTGGCCCTTCTCCGCCTCTTGGTGACCCTCTTGGCCAGTGGCTCTGAGCTTCTGGGCCTCCGGCCCCTCCCCTCTCCCACTCTCGGCTGTGTGCTGACTGGAGCCTGGAAGCCATCCACAGTGGCTGGGAGAGGGGCAGGCACTGCATGGACGACTCTAAGAGCTCTCAGAGATCTCAGAATCCTCCCGCTTTGGAGCCAGAAGAAACAATCTGCCAGAGGATCTGTCGCTGCTGTGGGCTCCAGCAGGGGCCAAAGGAGCTGGGGGAGTCATCAGCGAGGGCCAGCCATCTCAAGGGAGGCCCAACTGATTACAGGCCCAGAGAGTGGATGCCTGTAGGAAACTGGGCTCCAAGGGGACCCAAGGAGGGGCTGGTGGCCACACACCCCTGCCCCCTGGCCCTGTGATCCTCATGCCCACCCTGCAGTTACTCCTGCTGTTCCTGCCTCTATTCTTCATTGTCCAGCTGACGTCAGGGGTCAGTCTGCTGCCAGAGCCTGGAAGCCACCCTGGAGTATGCCCCAACCAACTGAGCCCCAGCCTGTGGGTGGATGCCCAGAGCACCTGTGAGCGGGAATGCACTGGGGACCAGGTGAGCATTGGGGACCCCTCTCCCGGACCTTTCCTAAAGGAGACTCCAGTCCCGTAAGTTGCTTCCTCCTGGGCCTCTCCACACTTGATGAGGCTTTGGGCCATGCCCTGTATGAGGCCTAGATGACACTGTATCTTTGTCTTCACATGCCTAAAGAATAAAATCCCTTCCCTATTCTCCTGGGCTGCCTGATCCCCCCACCAAACCTGCCCCTTTCCCTGCCTTGGCACCAGAGCAGACACAGGCCTGTGACCTACCCTTCAAATAGCACTCTGCCTGAGCCACTACCTTCCCCTCACACCCGGGGCCATGGAACGCTGAGGGGTGGGTACAGAAGACCTGGGGGCTGCAGTCAGATGTCCTACCTTGTATGTGTATACAGTTCTGGGAATGGGACCCAGGGCCTTGTGCATGCTACCTACCCCTCTGCCAGTGAGCTGCCCTGCCACTGTCCTGCCTCTGAGCCCGGGATTGGCATACTCACCTGTATGATAGAAGCCATCATGACCCCTACTTGGGTGTCCTCATGGAAAATGGCACTCACAGCTCATAACACTGGACAGAAAGCACTTTCCCAGCTTTCCAGAAGGGAAACATTTTGGGAAAGGCATTCATTGGCTATGGCTGCAGAGCAGGGGCTTACCCTGCTCCATCTGCATCCTGGCATAGGGGCAAGGCCAGCGACTGGGGGGAAGGCTAAGGGATGTCAGGCTCCTGCTGAGCTGCCCCATCCCCCAGGACTGCACAGCTGCTGAGAAGTGCTGCACCAATGTGTGTGGGCTGCACAGCTGCGTGGCAGCCCGCTTCCCTGATGGTGGCCCAGCTGCACCTGTGACAGCAGCCTCCTGTGAGGGCTTTGAGTGTCCACAGCAGGGTTCCAACTGTGACATCTGGGATGGGCAGCCTGTGTGCCGCTGTCGTGACCGCTGTGAGAAGGAGCCCAGCTTCACCTGTGCCTCTGATGGTCTTACCTACTATAACCGCTGCTACATGGATGCAGAGGCCTGTCTGCGTGGCCTCCACCTGCACGTCGTGCCTTGCAAACACATCCTCAGCTGGCCACCCAGCAGCCCAGGGCCACCAGAGACCACTGCCCGCCCAACACCTGGGGCTGCCCCAATGCCGCCTGCCCTTTACAACAGCCCTTCCCCACAGGCAGTACATGTAGGGGGCACAGCCAGCCTCTACTGCGATGTCACTGGCCGTCCACCACCTGCTGTCACCTGGGAGAAGCAGAGCCACCAGCGGGAAAACCTGATCATGCGCCCTGACCAGATGTATGGCAATGTGGTAGTCACCAGCATTGGACAGCTGGTGCTCTACAATGCCCGGCTTGAGGATGCTGGCTTGTATACCTGCACTGCACGTAATGCCGCTGGCCTGCTGAGGGCTGACTTCCCACTCTCTGTGGTCCAGAGGGAACCAGCCAGGGAAGGGACCTCTGGCGCTTCAGCCCTGGCTGAGTGCCTACCAGACACGCAGGCCTGTGCTGGTTCCACCTCCCCAAAACGAGTCCTCTGGCACTTTGATCCACAGCGGGGTGGCTGCATGACCTTTCCAGCCTATGAGTGTGCTGGGACCTCTCAAGGCTTCACAACATATGAGGCATGCCAACAGGCCTGTGCCCGAGGCCCTACAGATGCCTGCCTGCTGCCAGCTGTGCAGGGTCCTTGCCAGGGCTGGGAGCCACGGTGGGCCTACAATCCACTGTTGCAGCAGTGCCAGCCCTTCACCTATGGTGGTTGTGAGGGCAATGGCAACAATTTTGAGAGCCGTGAGAGCTGCGAGGAGGCCTGCCCTGTGCCTCACTCACCACCCTGCCGGGCATGCCGCCTCAGGAGCAAACTAGTGCTGAGCCTGTGCCGCAGCGATTTTGCCATTGTGGGGCGCCTCACAGAGGTGCTAGAGGAGCCTGAGGTGGGCGGCGGCATTGCCCGAGTAGCCCTTGATGATGTGCTAAAGGATGACAAAATGGGCCTCAAACTCCTGGGCACTAAGTACCTGGAGGTGACACTGAGTGGCATGGATTGGGCCTGCCCCTGCCCCAATGTGACAGTTGGTGATGAGCCACTGATCATCATGGGGGAAGTGCATGATGGCGTGGCCATGCTGGATGCTAGCAGCTATGTCCGTGCTGCCAGTGAGAAGCGTGTCAAGAAGATCTTGGAGCTGCTCGAGAAGAAGGCCTGTGAGCTGCTCATCCGCTTTCAGGACTAACTGTGTTGTCCCTCCCACTCGGGACTAGCGTCCTTCCCCCATCTCCTCTTGCCCAGACTAGCCCTTCCTGCCTCCCTTCCTACTGAATAAAGGCTCTTCTCATCTTTGGAGTTCATGCCTACTAGTGCTGGTCAGGGACCCTGATCCTTCCAGGTGCCTCTGCCCCTCAGCCTATTCTGTAGCTGGGGTCTTGACACCAGCTGGGTCTTTGACCAGGTCACCAGGGAGCACTCTTGGTGGCTTCCTGCAGCCTCAGAGTCTCAAGGAGCATAGGTGGTGAACAGCTGTGCCCAGCCAGAAGCTGTCCCTGGGCTGTCCCTCAGCAACAAGGCTCAAGATGTCCCAAGCTGGACCTCACAGGCTAGATCCTCCCACACACCCCCTTACCAGGTGCTCCCAGGAAGAGACATGGTGGACACCCACAAGGGGACAGCAGGAAACACTTTATTCCAAGGCCGACTGGGCCCAGACTTTTGACGGGCCAGACTAGATGGGGCTGGTCATTCCCAGAATCTGGCCCAGGGCATCAGGAGCCAGGGTTTGTGCCCAAGAGAAACTTTGGCAGGGATGCAGGGCATGCAGGATGAAGGAAAGGGGCTATTCTTTCCGGAAAATTAGGCACTTGTTATTGGCTGGCATGTCCACCTGGAGAAAAGCTTTGCTGGAGTGGCCCTTTTTCCCCAGGAAGGCCATCCCACCTGACCCAGCCCCACCTACCATCTTCTCCAGGAGAAGGCCACTGGCCTGGCCCAAATCCTCCAAGAAGGCTGTGTCCCTCAGCCCCCACTCTGGGTTTCTGCAGTAGGGAAAAATGGTGGAGTCATAGCTGAGGGAAGGGGCATCTATCCCACTTGCTCTGGGCGAGGCCCCTTCCCAATTCTGACCTGCATCTGAGGGTTAGGTCAAAGTCCACGTTGCTCTGGGGAGAAATCGTCCCATTGACTGCGTAGGGCTGCAGGGACAGGGTTGGCACAGCCCGCAGGCCCAAGGTCACTCAGCAGGCAGGTGAACAGACTTGCAGAATGAAAAGGACACTCCTTCCCCGCCCCCAAGAAAGGGGAAAGCCAAGGACCAGCTGGATAAGTAAGGAAGCAGCTAAGGCTTCAAAGGGCCCTCTACAACCACTCACCCCATAAGTGATGAGCACAGCCTTGGGTTTGAGCAGGTGCCCGGCTGCTCTGAAGAGCCCCTGGGGAAGGGAAGGCAGGATGCAGCGGGTCACCTTCCCCAGCCAGAAAGAGCCCTGGCTTGGGGAGGCCATACATAAGGGACAGCAGGGTAAGGTGGTGCTGCCGCTGCCACTCACCTCCGTACAGCTCAGGGGGCTGATGTGGATCATGTTGATGCACAGCAGCAAGTCCAGCGACTGTGGCAGGATGCCGCCCCACTGCTGCCATTCCCAGGTCACATCCAGGTACAGGGGGGCCTTCACATTGGACAGTCCCTGGGACTGAGTTGTGGCGGCAATGCTGCGGGAGGCGGTGCGTGGGCGGGGCCCGCAGAGATCAACTCGTGCTACCCCCGACCCGTGCCCACCCTCACTGCTCGCGCAGGTTGGCTAACAGACGCACCTGTCCAGGCAGCGCTGGTCCACGTCGGACGGCTGCCACTCGGCGTACGGGAAGGCCTGCGCGAAGTGGGCGGCGTGCTGGCCGGAGCCCGAAGCCACCTCGAGCACGCGGACGCCGCGCTGGGCGGGGTCCACGTACTGCCGAAGAACGCTCAGGATGGGTTCCTTGTTCCGCTCTGCGGCCGCCGCCACCAGCATAGCGGGCGCGTGTCCTCCCGCCAGGACCCACTACTGAGTGCGTCGGCGCCGGACGATGACTTCCGCCTCTGAGCGCGTCTGGAGCTGCGGGCCTGCCGCCGCGCCGCGGCAAGGATTATCCCAGCAGCCCGCGCGCTGCCTCTTAAAGGCTCCGCGGTCCAGTGCAGCAGGGATGGGGTTGACCCCGGAGAGCAGAACGGGAGCAATTTGGGGGTGCCGGTTTGGCTTACAGCCCACTCTGCTAAGGGGCTTTATCACGCAAGGTGTCTGACGTTTCCAGATTTCGTCCTTCGGAAATGGTTATTTTTTTCATTCGGGAACCGGCGCTCCCTCAGGTCTCAGAGTCGGTCTGAAGATGCGAAAAAAATTAGGTAAAGACGTAACTGCGCCGCCCGGGAATCGAACCCGGGTCGCAAGAATGGGAATCTTGCATGATACCACTACACCAGCGGCGCTCTTGGAAGGTTGGCCCGCCCACAAGACTTAGTAATTGTGACGTACGCGGGCCGCAGGGATGTAAGACTCACATATCGTCTCCGCCCCAGAAGGCGGGCCTGCGCTGCAGCTGGCGCGGTGGTGCCGAGGTCTGGCTGGGTAGCCTGCGCCTGAGGAGAGAGTGCGAGAATGAGGACGCCGGTTTGAAGATAGCCTTCATTCAATCAGCAGGGGAAAGCAAGGGCAACCTGTACACTTGGGAGTTGACAGGGACAAGGGTCCAGTAGGGGGCCCGAGATAAGGATCTGAAGGGCTTGGCCCAGGTGTGGCTGTGGATCTGTGACGTTTGAGATTGAAGTTGGGGTGAGGCTCGGTGGTGGAGGACAGCGTGGCGCCGGGTGGCCTTCTTTGTGACACTTTGACAAACTCCGCCAGCCTGGGGTTTTATGGATCGTCTGTGGGAGGAGTCATTGGTCCCTGAGGTCAATGTGTGCGGTCCCAAGGGTGCTTCTCTCACCGTTGGGTCATCTCGAGGCCCACGCCTCAGAGGGACACAGTTCCAGAAAATGCTTAGGCCCGACCCCAGAGTCAGGATGTCTCGCTGGCCGGGACGCAGGGTAGTCCCTGTCTGGGATATTAGACTGGGGCTGTGGTTGAGGGCACCAAGGTCAGGCATCAGTCGGGATGACCAGGGTGTGTGGTTAGCCCAGAGAAGGCCAGCCTCGGGGCGCAGGGTACTGACATAGGGCGACCACTCAGGACAGCCCCCTAGGAAAGCATCTAGTCGGGGCCTCAGGAGAGTCCAGGAGTGGGCTTCTGCTCAGGCAGCCCTGGCGAGTCCAGTGATGTGTTTGCTGTGACCCTGACTGGTCCCCTGCAGTGAGCTTCCCTGCTTCCTACCCTGGCCTTTGCTTACCTGGCTAACATTTTGCATCACCACCTTCTGTTTTTTCAGCTGAACATCTTCCCTGTGTCATGGTCCAGGAGGGGGAAGGTATCTCCTTCCACATGCATACTTGGTTCTCACACCCCCTCAAGGGCCACATGAATTCCAAGGGTGCCTCAACACCCAGACTTCACTTGGGATTCTCTGAGCATGGAGCAGAAGAGCCTGAGATCATCTCCTTGCCTCCTCATTGTATGGAGCTGCTTTAAGGAATGCCCTCGGTGCCCAGCAAACAGCATCGTGCTTAATAGTACTTAACCCCAGGCTGATGTAGTCTGAGCTAGATCCCAGGTAGGCCCCACACCTTCCCTGAGTACTGACTGAGGTCAGTGCCTGGCAGAGGAGCAGTGGATGTGGTTGAGCTGAGGTCATCGTGTAAGGACATGTTTCCTCAAAAGCATGTGTGTCAGATGCTGGCACCAGTCTAGGACCCTGAGGAACAACATTTCCGTGGGTAGCCAAAGTTGAATTTGTTGAGGCCAGATTATTACTGGGGTCAGAAGTGCCAGCTCCTGAGGGTGAGTTGGCTCCCCCAAATCCCCTCTTGAAGGACTTATGTAATACTGGGTGGAAGCACCATGGCAGGGGCCACTTTTCCAACATAGTCCAGAGAGCTACAGGTCCTGGATTCTGTGCTATGCAAGGGACTCAAGGTTCTTGGGCTCTTCTGCCCTCACAGTGGCACCTCCTGGCGTTGGCCTTAGTCCTTGTTCCCATTCTCTGGGTAGACTTCCTCTTCTCACCTGCCCGGAGTTGTCTCAGGATCTGGCCTACAGGAAGTGCTAGCCAGTGCTTGATGAGTGAGGATCAGATCCTGCTGTGCCTCAGCCATCTCATGTCCAAGGCAACAGCGGGCTCCGCCTGTCTTCTGGGCTCAGGCCCACATGTTCACTATTCATTGTAAAGTAGGATATAAGAAACTGTAAAAATGAGCAAAAAAAAAAAAAAAACTAGGATTTTTTTGGTTTTTGTTTTGTTTTGTTTTTTGTCCTTTTGAGACAAGGTTTCAGTATGCAGTTCAGGCTGGCCTTGAACTCAGTAATCCTCCTGCCTCAGCCTTCCGAGTGCTGGGATTACAGGCATATGCCACCATGACTAGACTAGGATTTTAAAATTATACTTTAAACCAGACATGGTGGTACACACCTGTAGTCCCAGCATTCAGGAGGCTGAGGCAGGAAGATTGCCATGAGTTTAATGCCAGCCTAGGCTACATAGTGAGTTCAAGGCCAGCATGTACTACATGGCGAGACCTTGTTTCAAAAAGACAAAAAAAAAAAAAAAAGAAAGATGGATGGGTAATCTAGTAAGTGTATTCCTATTGTCTTCAGGTTACCCATCTGGCAGGCTATGTCAGAATGCAAGCCATTTACCTGTGTTTAAAGTTGAGACATGCTACCCACTAATATCACTACTTCCTTAAGGATGGAGGAAGTGCAATTTACAGGTAAAAAGGAAAGGTCCAGAGTCCAGTTTGCAGGCTTACTGTATCTTTAAGAACTTTAGGAATTTTTTGAGTGGGTTTTCTGGAAGGGAAAAAAACTTGAGTAACTTTGGGGTCCTGAAGTTGCAATTTTCTTTTTAAATATACCCTAAGGCCCAGGAAATGTACCCAGCTCCAGCTTATAGGGTGCCTTTCCTCTCTTGAGGACCCACTTTCTCTGAGTATGTTCTTTTGAGTTTCTGCTTAATAAACCCTTCTTGTGCCTCTTACTGACTATAAAAATTCTTTTTCTGTAATGGGAGTCAGCAAACCTGCAACGTTATTTTATGAGAGGGTGGGTTGGTTTCTTATCTCAGTTGCAGGAATCTCCTGGACATCCAGTGGCAATTGGAGCCTGTGGATGCCCCTGGGTTTACTTCCCAAGCCTCTGCAGTGCCTTCTCCCATCCCTCACTTAACACCACTCTCCTTAGTATATTAATTTTTTTTTTTTTTTTCTGTTTGAGATGATCTCACTGTGCAGTTCAGGCTGGCCTTGAACTCACTTTGTAGCCCAGGCTAGCCTCGAACTCACAATGATCCTCCTGCCTCAGCCTCCCAAGTGCTAGGATTACAGGCGTGTGCCACCATGCCCAGCAGTATATTAATTTCTTGTGGCTACTGTTTTTTGTTTATTTTTGTTTTTTGTTTTTTTGAGACAGGGTTGTTAGCGGGTAGCTTGCTTTGAAAAAGTGCCTTGCCGACAAAGGTTACTAGGTTTAGGGTTGCTCACATCTCCATCTGGAATTGGATTCTAGGTTCTTCTTGTATCAAACAAAGAACTGAATGAAAGGCGCAAAAAGGAGTGGCAACGTTTATTTGTTTTTTGTTTTTTTGTTTTGTTTTTTTGGCAAAGTTTATTTGAAAAAGTAAAAGTGAAGAGTGGGAGACAAACTACCTCTGCAGAGCTAGCTTGGGCTGAGTAAATAGAAAAAGGGGGTGGGAGCAAAGAGATAAAAGTAGACACTGCATCTGGGAAACACAGCCTGGGCTATCATGAAAAGATAAGACAGCAACAGCTCCTCATGGCTGTCTTTCTTTTATATTGTCCAAATCTTGTGGAAACCCAAGAGAACTTGTGTATCTGGGTCCCTGAGAAGTGGTGCTGGGATCCCACTCACCTCATGGCGTCAGCCTGAGGTGAGGGTGGTGTTGAAGGAGGGATGGGAGGAGGCACTACAGAGGCTGAGGAAGTAAACCCAGGGGCATCCACAGGCTCCAATTGCCCCTGGACATCCAGGAGATTCCTGCAGCTGAGATAAGGAACCTAACCCACCCCTTGTAAAACAAGTTCACAGGTCTAGGCCAGCCTATTGAGTTTTTGTGAGAAGTCCACCTGCAGGGCTTTGGGAACTGTTTTCTGCATGTGTCTGGGCTCTTGTAGTTAACAGGTCATGCCTACCTCCACTGGCAGTTTTTGCCACCCCCGAATCTCCTATCTCAGGGTTTCACTTTGTAATTCAGGCTGGCCTTGAACTTATTCTGTAGCCCAAGCTGGCCTCCAACTCCCAGTGATCCTCCTGCTTCAGCCTCCCAAGTGCTGGAATTATTTGGCTACTGAACAAATTACCCCCAAAATTGGTGGTTTTTATTTTCCTGCAGGTGTCAGTTCCTTGCAAAAGTCTTTGGTTCATGGTCACACCATCTCTGTCCCCATTTCCATACAAGCTCCCCTGTGTCCAGATCTCCCTGTTTTTCTCTTAGAAGGGTACAAGCCCCTGGATTTTAGGGTCATCCTAATTCAGGATGCTTTCATCTCAAAATTCTTTTTTTTGTTGAGACAGTTTCTTGCTTTGTAGTTCAGTCTGGCCTTGAACCCTGCCTCAGCCTCCAGAGTGCTGAGATTACAGGCTTGCGCCACCATGTCTGGCTCATGTCAAAACTTTTTTTTTTTTTTTTTGAGACAGGGTCTCACTATGCAGTTCAGGAAGGCCTTGAACTCACTTTGTAGCCCAGGCTGGTCTTGAACTCTCAACAATCCTCCTGCCTCAGCCTCCCGAGTGCTAGGATTATAGGCATGCGCCACCACACCTGGCTCATCTCAAAATTCTTGCCTTAATTATATTTGCAGATTTTTACTCCAACTCCAAGTAAGGTCACATCTGAGGTTCCAGGTGAATACTTTTTTTCTTTTCTTTTCTTTCTTTCTTTTTTTTTTTTTTTTGGTACTGAAGATTGAACCCAGAGCCTTTATACTGAACTGCATCTCCAGATTTTTAAAATTTTGTATTTTG